TTTTTTACTCAATTACAAGTAAAAGTACTTGCCTAAATTTTTACTCAAGTAAAAGTAAAAAGTATCTTAAACAAAATGTACTCAAAGTAAAAGTTACTTAGTTACATTTTTGTCAGCGTAAGGATGGCTACATCTAAGTAGTGCTAAATCACAATGCCAGTTCACAATTCGCTCGTGTGTGTGTGTGTGCACACACACTCAAACACGCACAGCTTGAAGGAGGGATTTCTATCCAATCAGTGAGAACAGGACGTGCACATTGATTGGATGAGGTTTTTCTAGGATGGTAAGTTTCAATTGTGATGAAAATTATTCTTTATTTTAGATGGCATCAGCATGTGAGGTATCTCAATGTTGTCATGACAAAACTCTAACATGAGACTGTGCTCTAACCTGTCACATAACAAGCTAAATGCAGTAAAACATTTCAGATGGACCGTATGACAGCTGCTAACGTTGGCCCTGCCCTACTTTACCTCTACATTACAGTTCCTTTATCCATGTCCATCCTAGAGCTCCTCTCTGACCTTCATGCTTATTTAGAGCAGCTGATTTTTAAAGTTAGCAGAGTTCATCCTTGGTAGTGGGTTCACTCACTCATTTAACCGATCACCACTGAAATCAGTTTTTTCATTCCAATCCTCCTAAATAATCCTCCAACCATCCAGCTGGAATCCTTAAGGGTCCCGTAACATCCATCCTGTCAGAATAGGCCTTGGGAGCCCAGGTGTTACTAGAACTAATGGTGTCTCCTCACCAGCGTGAGCCTCCACACTGTGAAGGTTGGTCTCCAAACATGAACTTTAAATTCATGCATTTATCTCGTCTTGTAACACTTTAACATGTTTTAAAAGACTTGTATCATGATAAGTTACAACTCCTAGACCAAAGATAAGATAAAACATTATCGTAAACACTATAGAGACGTCATTATTTATGAAATAGAGGTTATTTTCCTGAGCCATTACTGCAGCCAAGATATAGGATTTGATGAAATCACGCTGTCTCATGCAGTTCTATATGCATAACACACACACACACACACACACACACACGCAAGCGCGTGCGCACGCACACACTGCAGCATGTTAGAATCATTTGAATGACTAATTTAACTACACTGAACTGTTTTTGTAATAATTTAATCTCTTATTCTGGAGTAAAATAAAGAAACAAGCTAAATCATCACATATCTGTGGCATCAAGGAGCAACTTCTGAGTTCAAACACAGGGATGGAGCACAATGTTTCCACCTGAACAGTATCAGGATGTTTTAACTCACAGAGGCCTGCAGGTCTTCTGTTTTATGAGCAGAGTGCTGAGAATCCGCTTGTTAGGAGAGCTAAATGTTATTTTGCCGCTGCCGTGCGGAGCGGTAGAGAAACACAATTCAAACACGGAACCGAGTCTGGCTACCGAACCGAGCAGAATTCTGATGACGCCACACCGGTGCACGAAAGTGTGGGATCCAACCCACAGGAGAGGAGGTAAACAGCGAGTTGAGGAACTGAACCGATGTCTTTGAACTAAAGTGTACACCCCCATGGTTTAGATGCAGCGCTCATGCAGGTGTCTCTTTCCTTTCCGATGCTGCTACACGCAATATTTTTAATTTATTAAGCCTATAATTTATTTTTACTCAGTAACGGATATGATTTAAAATGTAGCGAATTACAATTATTTTTTAAAAACGTACTCAAGTAAAAGTAAAAGTACAGCTTTTAAAAACGACTTAAAAAGTATAAATATACAAAAAAGCTACTCAGTTACAGTAACGTGAGTAAATGTAATTTGTTACTTTCCACCTCTGGGTATAATTCTCAAGGATTGTGCATTAAAACACAGCAACACAACAAAACTCCCTAATTTCCTGCAAAAGTGTTTTGAGCTTCAAATAGTGCCAGGTGTGTATCAGTCTACCTTTCTCACAGGCAGTCCCATAACTGTAGACTCTAGTACCTCAAATTATTTTCATAGAGGAAAAATGCAGTGTTAGTCAAGACAGGGAGGGGAAAGAATGGAATGGCCTGACATAAGTCCAGACCTCAATGTATCTGAATATTTGTGGGATCCGCTTGACCAACACCAATATGCTGGGTGACTTTCAGCAGCTCCTGCCTAAAGAATGGGATGTCATTCCACAGACAGCAGGACCATGCTGGTGATGAGCACGAGGAAAGGATAATGTAAACATGGTAATAGACACGTTACAACTCACAACTATAAGCTGAAATATTAAGTCAACATAAAAATATAAACACTCAATATGTATTAGGATTAGCTAGCTTAATGTAAAGGTGCCATAGTGCACCAATTGTCCAGCAGGATCGCTATAAGTGTGATCTCCTAGCAGCAACATTCAGTTCAGTGATGGCTCTTGCATAAAAGCCGTTTAACAGCCTGCTGGTGCATGTTTTTATTGCCCTGTATTGTTTACCAGATGGAAGAAGTTTGAAGGGATGATTAGCAGGGTGGGTTGAGTCCTTTAGGATGTTTGTGGATTTCCGAAGGCAGCGAGTGGTGAAGATGCCATCCAGGGCAGGCAGGTGAGTGTTTGTTATTTTCTCTGCAGTTTTGATTACTCTCTGCAGGGCGTTCCTCTCAGCTGCAGAGCTGCTGCTGTACCACACCAGGATGCAGTTGGTCAGGACACTCTCTATGGAGCAGTGATAAAACCACACCAGCAGGTTTTGTGGCAGGTTGATCTTCCTGAGAGCTTCCTGTGTGTCTTCTTTATCAGCCATTTGGTTGTGTGTGTCCATGTGAGGACGTCTGATATATCTGTGTCCAGGAACTTGAACTGCGACACCCTCTCCACCTGCTCTCCTTTTTTTGTGAGCGACTGGTGCTCTACCTTTTTCCTTTTTCAGTCAATTATGATTAATTGGGTTTTGTTGGTGTCCAGGGTCAGATTGTTACCTGTAAACCAGTCCACCAGCTGCTGCACTTCTTCCCTGTGTGCTGACTAATTTCCCTGACTGATTAGGCCCACCACGGTTGTATCATCAGTAAACTTAATGATAACGTTTGTGTTGTGGGTGGGCTTACAGTCACGTGTGTACAAAAAGACACTCAGTACACAGCCTTGTGGGGCTCCTGTGCTGAGGGACAGAGAGGAGGAATGGTGGTGGCCTAACTTAACAGACTGTGGTCAGTTTGTTAAAAAGTCTGCTCGACTCGTCTGTGGAATGACATCCCCCCCCCCACCCCCACCACCCACCCACCCCCCGCCACCTGTCTTTCACCGACCCAGCGGTTTCTCCCCCTCCAGCTCCAGTTGCCGTGGATTACACCCCTGGGGCTGAATCAATCACCAGCGGAGTTTTCAACGGCCCGATCACCGCCACCACATCCCTCCCCACGGAGGTGACGCGGGACATCAGACAAGGTAAGGGCTGGATGGGTTGCTTGTGTTACCGCGTCATTGCTGACAGACTCCCTGTTGCTGCGTGCTGAAGCCACGCTTTCCGTCTCGCTAGAAGACCGCAGATCATCCGAATCTGCCAGTACTTGACGAAGAGCTTCGTCAGCACTGAACATTCCTCTCGGCATTGTTTTTTTCCCTCTACCACTCGCTCGCTCCCACTTGCTCTGACAACCTCCGCGACTCTGCGACTGGTGGGCAGGGATCCTGCTCTAAATGCTTGAAAAGTTTCAATAGTAACACACCCACAAATGCTGCTTGGACTGAAGTTACAGGTGTCTGCCACCCCGCAGTGTAACATATTAACTGCATGAGGGCTCATTTCTGCTGCTGTGGCTTATTAAATCCAACACTGCTGCTTGTCGCAATTTTGCGACTTTGGCACTTAAAGGGTTAAAACATTTTTAGGTATATTTAACCCCAACTCTAACCCTAGAACCGATCTCAGTTCTGCTCTCTCTCTCACGCCAACCCCTTAAACAAATGGGTCATAATCAATTAAACAAGTCAACCAAGTGTTCATCACTGGCTTTGACAGTTACAAATTCAATTTAGTTATTAACAACAATTCATATGTTGTAACATTCAATGAAAGCTGCAAACAATGTTTTTCAAAGATAAAATCAAATTCATGAAAAATACATGTAAATGTTCTATGGTGTCATAGTTGGTTAGCACCGTTACACTGCCTGAAGAAGACTGTAGGGTCAGCACGTGGATGATTTGCTTGTCGCATGCATTTTAGGTGAATGGTTATAGTCCAATGTGTTATAAACACTATTATAAACCAAAAGAGCATTGGGCTCCACTGGAAGCTCTCAACCTACACACCCAGGAAGAGCTAGAAAACAGATCCAGTTTCAACCTGTATTACATTATTTATATAGATGCTCATCATACTGACACTTCTTTTGAGAGGAGCACCGATTGTTCATGTGCTCCAGGAAGCTGCGTCCTGCACATGTCTAAAGTAACATTCTTAAAGTCGAGCCACCCAAAAAATGTAATAAATCAACCATTCATGCCCGCTCATATTCTCTGAAATGCTCTGTCTTCTACTTGTGTCTGACATACTTTGCTGCACTGGAGCTCTAAAACCTGTGCCCCGGTGACTTCCCCTCACTTCCGCAGCCGCACAGTGCACACTCTGCTACTTACAGCATCCTTGATTTCTCACATCTCTTCTTCAGATGAGAAGCCCAGAATCAGCTCTATGGATCCTTCTTAGTCTGGTCAGCAACTTCTGGCAATAAATCAAAATTTCCGCAGCTCAAATGTTCCTATATTATGTTTTATGTCTTGCGACATGCAATTTACTTCCATATTTGCATGCAAATTTTTCCCCAACACATAGACCACAGTGTCACCATAAAAATACTCACAATGATGCCTTTTCTCAGTATGATTAATACCTCTGTTTCTGAAGCTGGGACTGCTGAATGCAGGTAGCATAGTGTTCCATATGTATATATATATTTTTTTTGTTTGTTTGTTTTGGGCCAATGACATTGTAAGGCCTTGGTAGCAGCGTACCCAACACAAGCACACAGAAAATGCACACTCAGTCAGCACTCACAAGACTTTTTTGTTCTCCTGTCTGCGCACAGTCAGTCCAAAGGGGTTTTGTCTGATCTCCAGTGTATTGCTGATGGGGCTGGATGGGTTGCTCCCAACGCTAGGGATATGCTTGTGAGGTACCTCAAATCTCTTATTCAGGGCATCAGAGATCTGAGAGAAAAAAAAATCACCTATTCAGGCATTGTATGCAGAGCCCTCTACGTATCCTTTTACAGTGTTAAAAAAAGATACAGAGAGAGTTGGAGTGTGTAAGGGTTCACCTTAAATCGAAGTCGATTGTTTGTCTGCATTTCTGCATGAAATGAGAGCTGCTGTATGTCCCCACCAAATAAAGAAGGGGAGAATAATCTCCTTAGTTGGGCATTTATTACTGAAAAATAAAATAGAACAAAACAAAAGAAAATTACTGTTGAAATTTTGATGCAGAAGAGTGAAAATTATAATCACTTAGTCGCATTTTCTGAAAAAATAAATAATTAAAATAAAAACATGGCACAGCAGAGATAATTTATAACTGGCAATAAGCATTCTGTCGTCCTTTCTAAATGTTACTTTTTTTGCTTTTCTAAAACGTATTATGAAACTACTAGCATAAGAGTGCTAGTAGTTAGGAAGCATGGAAAAAAATCCAAAAAGCTGCTAACGTTCACCAGCTGATCTTAAGGGCATTTTTATGCCCTCTGGTTGAAGGTCAGGTGGATTGTTGGGAATGATAGCAATGATCTTTGCTGGGCAAAAGTAAAGGTTATTAAGTCATATCAAATTCACCTTACCATTACTGATAACATACTGGATGCAAGTGAGGGGTGACCTTATAAAATCACTCTTTATTGTTGTTGTTTTGGCTTTGTGGATTGATTTGGGTTGTTTTGCCAATCCCACTACAACATTTGGTTTAGCAGTGTGGCAAAATTCTGTTTTCATGATGTAAAAATGATTTATTTCACCTGTCAGTTGTCATTTGATTAAAGCTGATAAGGGTACATAATGGACTAATCATTCATTTTGCACATGTATCTTAACAACTCATTTTAATCAGCTCCAAAATGCTGATTTAAGCATGTCATGCGCCATGGCCAAGAAATGAAACAGGTTCTGTTTCTCCTAACTCTCTAAACCCCGCTGTACCTTTTTCTAAATCAATTTGATTCTTTTTTCTCACTAGTGTAATTTCTGCTGTCTCCTTGAACCTCTTCTTTTTACACCATCTTTGACACTGGTTCAGATGGCAAACCTAAAAAAACCATTTAAAATTTCTGTTTAATCAATGCTTTTACTTTGCTGTTTGAATGACAATTGTGTAGTTCAAAAAAAAGTTAACAATTTCCTTTTGCTTTTATACAATAACTGGGTTCACATTATGCAGATAAATCAAGCAGTAAATGGAGAAAACTGCATGCTGCAAAGTCAATCATGTTTTCTGATATGCCATCCATGTCTTATTTCATAGAAAATCATGCCTCGAGCAAAGTGTATGAATAAGGGAAAACAAGACCGTCAACTGATGTGTGGAGCAATTATAGTTTGAAAAGAAACTAAATAAAAAGCCAAATAAGTGGAGAGTATGGAGATATGGTAGAAAATGTGGATTTACCATAAGGGTTTGGATGCTCCACTGTTTCCACTGTGTAGCCATGGTTGGTTGAGAAGAAGCACCAGGGAACGTTTCTCTCATCAAGGGGGCTCCAGCAACAACCACGCTGCTCACATTTCAGCTGTTCATGATAAATGTTGTTGCTATTATTTACTATTATTCATTCTCACTATTCTTACCACTTACACTATTGTTTTTATCCAGATTCAAATTTTTAACCTAAATATTAACCATTACAGTTATTAAAACATTTTATTTTACAAACAAGAAGATGCTCCAGCCTATTAAGAAAAATGTAAATACAGGTGCTGGCCAGTAAATTAGAATATCATCAAAAGGTTGAAAATATTTCAGTAATTCCATTCAAAACGTGAAACTTGTACATTATATTCATGCAATGCACACAGACCAATGTATTTCCAATGTTCATTACATTTAAATTAGATATTCATAAGTGACAACTAATGAAAACTCCAAATTTGGTATCTCAAAAAATTAGAATATTCTGAAAAGGCTGAATATAGAAGACACCTGCTGCCACTCTAATCAGCTGATTTACTCAAAACACCTGCAAAGGCCTTTAAAAGGTCCCTCAGTCTTGTTTTGAAGGCACCACAATCATGGGGAAGACTTCTGACTTAACAGCTGTCCAAAAGACAATCATTGACACCTTGCACAAGGAGGGCAAGACACAAAAGGTGATTGCTAAAGAAGCTGGCTGTTCGCAGAGCTCTGTGTCCAAGCACATTAACAGACAGGCGAAGGGACGGAAAAAATGTGGTAGAAAAAAGTGTACAAGCTCTAGGGATAACCGCACCCTGCAGAGAATTGTGACGACAAACCCATTCAAAAATGTGGGGGAGATCCACAAAGAGTGGACTGCAGCTGGAGTCAGCGCTTCAAGAACCACCACGAGGAGACTCATGAAAGACATGGGATTCAGGTGTCGCATTCCGTGTGTCAAGCCACTCTTGAACAAGAAACAGCGCAAGAAGCGTCTCGCCTGGGCCAAGGACAAAAAGGACTGGACTGATGCTGAGTGGTCCAAAGTTATGTTTTCTGATGAAAGCAAGTTCTGCATTTCCTTTGGAAATCAAGGACCCAGAGTCTGGAGGAAGAGCGGAGAAGCACAGAATCCACGTTGCATGAGGTCCAGTGTAAAGTTTCCACCGTCAGTGATGGTGTGGGGTGCCATGTCATCTGCCGGTGTTGGCCCACTCTGTTTCCTGAGGTCCAGGGTCAATGCAGCCGTCTACCAGGAAGTTTTAGAGCACTTCATGCTTCCTGCTGCTGACCAACTTTATGGGGATGCAGACTTCACCTTTCAACAGGACTTGGCACCTGCACACAGTGCCAAAACCACCAGCACCTGGTTCAAGGACCATGGTATCCCTGTCCTTGATTGGCCAGCAAACTCACCTGACCTTAACCCCATAGAAAATCTATGGGGTATTGTGAAGCGGAGGATGCAATACGCTAGACCCAACAATGCAGAGGAGCTGAAGACGACTATCAGAGCAACCTGGGCTCTCATAACACCTGAGCAGTGCCACAGACTGATCGAGTCCATGCCACGCCGCATTACTGCAGTTATTGAGGCAAAAGGAGCCCCGACTAAGTATTGAGTGCTATACATGCACATTATTTTCATGTTCATTCTTTTCAGTTGGCCAACATTAGAGAAACAAACATTTTTTCATTGGCCTTTAGAATATTCTAATTTTCTGAGATACCAGATTTGATGTTTTCATTGGTTGTCACTTATGAATATCAAATTTAAATGTAATGAACATTGGAAATACATTGGTCTGTGTGCATTGCATGAATATAATGTACAAGTTTCACGTTTTGAATGGAATTACTGAAATATTTTCAACCTTTTGATGATATTCTAATTTACTGGCCAGCACCTGTATATCAGTTGTTTTTATAGAGTTGACTCAAACCTTTGAGGCTCCACCGTCTGGGAAACAGTCCACTCTCTCTGCCATGTGAATGTTGGAACACTGAGGTACAAAATCATCAGTAGTTTCTATAAAAAAAAAATGAGATACAGTTTTTAAAATAGGAGTGGTTCTGCAGGTGGTGACCACAGACAACTTCTCAGGACCTATGCTCTCTGGCTGATGTTTTAATCACTTTTGAATGCTGTTTGTGCTTTTACTCTAGTGGTAGCATGAGACAGTGCACACAAGTGGCTCAGGTAGTGCAGCTCATCCAAAAAGGCACATAATAGGAAGCTGTGGCAAGAAGGTTTGCTGTGAGTGTCAGCGTAGTGGCCAGTGCATGGAGGCAAGACAGGCCCGTACATTAGCAGATGTGGAGGAGGCTGCAGGAGAGCAATAACCCAGCAGAAGGACCACTACCCTAGCCTTTGTGCAAGGAGGAACAGGAGGAGCCCTGCAAAATGACCTCCAGTGGGCTGCAAATGTGCATGTGTCTGTTCAAACAGTCAGAAATAGACTCCATAAGGGTGGTACAAAGGCTCCACGTCCACAGGTGGGGGTTGGGCTTGTAGTCCAACACCATGCAGGATGTTTGGTACTTGTCAGAAAAATCCGATATAGAATAATTTGCTACTGAACAAAACTGTGCTCTTCACAGATGAAAGCAGGTTCACATTGAGCACATGTGACAGACATGATAGAGTATCAAGACACTGTGGAGAATGTTCTGCTGCCTGCAACATCCTTCAGGATGACCGGTTTCGCAGTGGGTCAGGAATGATGTGGGGTGGCATTTCTTTGGGAGGCTGCATAGCCTCTTTTTAAATCATTAAAGAACATTTGGCAGATTGCCACTTATTGGGTGAGTTTAGATTGTTTGGCATCCTTTAAGTCATGATCTGGAACACATATCTTGTATTTGATCATCAAATCTGATCACTGAACTTATAACACCACTGCAAGATCAAGCACAGTAATGCATTTGGACCCGAAAGTCTCTCATATGCATGCTTTTTGGCCATAATTTATGTTTTAGAATGAAGCAGACGTTCTTTTTTAACACAAGCCCTGGCTGACCGTGACTTCTCTTTTATGTATAAAATTGGGTTAACCTCAGTTTTATTATTTATTATAGTGTTTCGTTATTTGTGGTTATGATGAAGCATTTAGTAGCTACTTTAGACATTTCTTGTTTGACTGTCACGCCCCACCTACTGGATGCAGAGTTTTTTTTTTTACTCCACTGAATGGTTTCCCCAATAGTATTCTTCACTAGGCTATGCACAGTTGTCATATGCTGTATGGGATCATTGGCTAACTGTCTGGCTCCTGGCACCTGCTTATTTCTGTTACAGTTGTTGTGAGCTAGGGGCAAGACACTCAACTTGTGGTGTTGGTGGTGGTCAGAGGGACCGGTGGCACCCATTTTTGGCAGCCTCACCTTCATCAGTGTGCCCCAGAACAGCTGTGGCTACATTGCATGTGTGCATGGACAAAGTACTGTGTTGTAAAGTGCCTTGGGGGGTTGTTTAACCCTAGAAAACATAATATAAATACAGGCCATTTACCATTTTACTTGTGTTGTCAAGTTGAGTATCTTACCATCTTTAAGGAAGCCAGGTTCTCCTGTGGCAAAAAGAGCTATCATGGTGATGGCCACAATGGTCATCAGCAGAAACAGGACCAAAAGGATCACTTCCAGCCCGGACCACCGCTTTTTCCCCATCTAACGCCCACAAAACAAACAATACACAGGTAAATAAAATGAAAACACAGATCATCATATGAACCACTGCTAAATATCACGGGCACAAAAATAGTAAGCACATTACCCATGTAGCTACAGTTTATGCTTTAGAGTTGTATCATGTAATGTCATGAAATTACAATTCACTCAGAATACTTTATGAGCCAAAAACAAAACAAGGTGAATGGCTGTAACTTTGTGGGGGTGTTTGTCTGTTCGGATTTTCAAAGGCTTGCAGCCATTCTGTTTAATGTGCTGTGAAGAACAAGCGAGGGCATTCAGATGTCAAAAAGCCAAGCATGTGCATGCCCCTGTGTTTGCAATAAGCTGCACATCATAGAGCAAGACGGTGGAGGAAAAAAAAAAGCTACCATGCAGTGTACCATGCTGAAAAAATAAAATAAAAACAACAATATGGTATAAACTCTTGCACACTCACTAGTCCTCTTTTAGTTTGAACTATGCTGCCTAAAAATAACTTCCATAGGGTACGACTTTTCTGCTCCCATCTGGGACAGATTCTAATGCGCGGAGTTAATTTAAAATGATTATGCAGTTTTTTTTTAATGATTCTTAAAAAATATAATTAGAAGATAAAATCAGACTGGTAAAAATGAGCATTATGAAAAAAAGATTTACAGTCCTTCCAATATCTGACTTGTTCAGATTCATCATGTAAATCTGGTTGTACTTTCAACAAAAACTGTAATCCTTGTTGTAGAGGGTGTTACTTATTGTAGCGCAGCTGTAATAACCGAAACGGCTTAGCAGCCTGTGGTCTTACCTTTGCTCTCTGTGGTGTTCTGGGAAAAGTGATTCTTTGTACAGGCGAGATAGCACCTTATAAACCACAGGATGCATTGTGGTCAGAGGCTATCACCACTCCTCTTCTACTGTGTGTGTGTGTGTGTGTGTGTGTGTGTGTGTGTGTGTGTGTGTGTGTGTGTGTGTGTGTGTGTGTGTGTGTGTGTGTGTGTGTGTGTGTGTGTGTGTGTGTGTGTGTGTGTGTGTGTGTGTGTGTGTGCGTGCGTGCATGGTTGCATAATTTCTTTACTCTGCAAATGAGGAACCAAAGGCAGTAAGTAGTTAGACTGTAATCACAAGGAAGTACCATATTATAAAACCTGCTGTCCTGGTTTAATTGCACCATGCATGTGTTTTGTTTTTGTTTAGTTTTTTCATCCCTGCATGAGTGTCTGTATGTGTAGTTTGGCCTATAATAGACATAAGATTCATGGCAAGTACATGAGTGTCTGTATGTGTAGTTTGGCCTATAATAGACATAAGATTCATGGCAAGTACATGAGAGTCTCACATTACCAGGAATTTGCATCTTCAGAATGGTGCAAACTTAAAAGTGAAGCAAGTGAAAAATAGGATGCATAAAAAAAGCATGAATAATAAACATAAGAAACTTAAAGTGACTATTGCAGATCTGCATGGTTATAATGGGTATGTGGCATTCAAAAGCCCTACAACAGAAGAGAAGAAGCTGTTTTTGTGGCTTGAAATTCCAGTCCAAGGAGGTTAAGGCCATTTGAGGTGACTCCTGGGGGGAGGGAGGTGTGAATGGCATATGATATTGAGATGATGTGTGTGGGTATCATGTGGTTGGCTGGTAGTCCATCAAAGTGACAGAAACACTTGTTCAGTCTTTTGGTTAAAGCTGGGCATACACTGTACAACTTCTTCACTTTTTTGAGCTGATTTTCTCCTCGTGAAAGAATCTACAAGTTTGGGGCGAGTTTTGCGCTGATCGTCATGTAGTATACCAGGGGATTACAAGGAATGATCAACACCATTTAACCATCTACCGATCAGCAATTGTAAGCTCGCATGACATTATGGTGTGTTATTTTGCTTGTCCCTAGTGAGGGTATCACACTGTTGAAGCAACGCTATGCTACGACCCAAAAAGTACCAGAACACAGCACTTGCACAAACATGCATCAACACGGCTCACTAGCTATTTCCCTATTAACACACGCCGGTTGTTTTCATTTAAACACATTTTTTCACACACAATGATGAGGATTGTCAAGAAAGTTTGTTTATGTCAAATTAAATTGATAAAACATTGATTTACTTTCTTTTGTCTTCCTCATCCAACCGCCACAAATCCCTATGTGTCCTCCTACAGCAATCCCGAAGAACAGATATCAATAACAACACCAAAAAGTCTGGCGTGTTGTGTAAAGACTGCGGTTTTTAGCATATTTTTAGGTTTGATGTGCTGCTACCAGACATACAGGGTGACCAATCAGGTCACATCCGAGAACTGGGTCATACAGCGTGAGCACATGACTTGTGAGATTTGCTCTGTGAAGAAGTCATACAGTTTGAACTGAAGCTGAATGCTATGAGTGAAAAAGTCGTACAGTTCTAGGCAGTCTAGGTTTGAAGCCTCCAAAAATGTCAACAGATTCTGGACTAGAATGAAAGCATCTTGCGTATAGACCTTTCAATACCCCAGGTGAGAGTATTGGGGGAGTTATTTGTGAACTGACTGAAATCAGCAAAGTTTTCAAAGTTCAAAAGATTTTTATTTTTCTGTTTGAATTAAAAAAGCTCATTGGATGAGAATCAGACCTAAAATTAAAATGTCCTGTTGCTATTTTTCTAAATTGGCCAGAATTTCATGTGAATAAGCCTAATACTTCTCTCGGACACAGCATAAACCACATAAATATTGCTATGAGTTTCTGTGACTAGTTTTTCTCAATCAATCAAGTTTATTTATATTTAGCGCTTTCCAAACCCATAGAAGATGACCAAAGTGCTTTATGTTATGAAATAAGACCATAGTTAATAAAAATGGAGATTACGATGAAAGATAGAACTTAAAACATTAAAGTTAAAAACTAATTAAGAAACTAGACAAGTAAAACCACAAACCATATGTAACGTGAGGAAATATGGGTTTTCTGTCACAATGGTGGTGTTGGACTCAGCTGGGTCATAGCTGGGTCGCTGAGAACTTTCACCCACAGATTAAGACCTGAACGCCAGCGAGTCTGGGAGGAAACCATAACATCTGCCACCTGCAGTCTACCAGAAGATGTGTTTACATGAGTTGTACCCAGACCAAGTCAAAACATAAAGTTTAAACTTCTTTTTCTTGATTTTAATGTTAAAATAACCATTATCATTTGGCTCATTATAAATGTGTTTAATCAAATGAATGACTAGTATGCTTTGGGGTAATTATAATGGATTAATGAATCCACACTTAAGTAGATAATGTTGAATGTGTGGTACTGACCTTCACACTCAAGCACACACACCCACACACATCTTGCCCACAGTAAACTCCAGACACATTTGATGACGCACATGTTTTGCTTTGAGAAGAGAAAGGTTTTTGGTAAGTTTTCAGTTTTTTTGATTCAGTTCGTGTTGGACAACGGGAGAGAACAGACCTGAAAACCAAAGGGGGGGCAGAGCCTGTTGGCTCGTTCTTCCCCCCTTTCACGCTGTTTCTGCCAAGCCAGGCAGAATAGCTGAATCGCGACTTCTAACGAAGACTCATTACCGAGTCTTTTGATTTCTGAGTGAATTAACTTAAGAAAGCGCATCGATAAAACGCTCTACCATCCACGTGTACCGAGGGCAACTCTGGACCGGTTCCGTTCGACACCTATGTCTCCTGTCAGCCGCCGGTGTCATCTGGATGAACCACAACATCCTCCACGGCCCGGATCCGAAAGAGGGTCCACAAGAGTTCGGTGAGACAGAGCACGGTTTTTAGCGTTTGATGCAGTTCTCTGATAAGACCTAAGTTTATCCAAACCATCACTTCACTCAGACACCTGTTTCTTCTTGAAGCAAAATCAGACTCACACACGCATTCATGTCACAACATTCTCAATCTTCATAAATTCACCAGAAGGTCTATTTGAGCAAGAACAGCATATAAACTGTTAAAAGATTGTCCCACAAAGTTGCCAATGTGATTGTTATTTCCTGTTTGTCAATTTTCAAAATCATTAGTTTATTTTGAAGAATTAAAACTTTTAATCCTTCAAACTTGTTTCCTCATTGAACTGAAACACAGACACTCAGATATTATCGGCAGTTTATGGATGAAAACAACCTTTGAGTCTTCTGAACAATATAAAATTTGGTTATTGATTTATTAAAATTAATATTCCGAATTAATACGTAGCATGGTTTCTCTTTCATAAAAGAGCATAAATCCATAACGCTACATTTAATGGCGAGCGTATCCAGTCTTCTGTATCTGCGATATGTCTGATTTCTTACATCTAAAAGCTACAAACAACGCTTTTCTCTGTGTTTCACTTTGATGTCTTATTTTGAACTTAACCGGAAATTGTTCCGCTGAAGTCACTCTTCCGGGAGGCGTCCTGGTGGAAACTTGACCGGGAAGATCTCCGATCTCAAATTGACCGCAAATTACAGACCTAACTTTGATTTATCCCATCTTCGCCTTCGGAGCGAACGTGTGAGTTGTGCTTTTGACTCAATTCTGTCCATTTTGACGCGCCGCCGCGTCTCTAGTCTAACCTCAGGTCGGAAAGCTACGTTTCCGCTCGGACCATTGCTGGGTGAGCTACCGTGAGCAGCTTATCCTCAGTTCCTAAAATTATCACTAAATTCTCCGAACCTCAGAACCGAGACTAAATTCTCGGACACCTTTCGTCTCAGTGTGTTGACACTGTGGGCGAGCTATTGTGGAAAATATCTCCATTGCATGAGCGACTTATAGAAACAATCTGAACGGAATGCCCGTAGGCACCTACTGTTGCTTGATTGCACGGTAAACGTCGTAAGCCGGGTTATGGCCGTCACGCGTTACTGCATTCAGATTGCGTACGTTTTTTGAAGTCCGTATTACAAGCGGGGCGAGACGCCTACTTGTTAATCGGGAAAATTTAAGTCTGGTCGCTACAGACAAAGAACGCTAGACCTGGCCGGAGAGCTAAGCTAGCACCACAGTTAGACAAAAAGGGAACACGTCCCGTTAGATTGTCATACCATTTCTGACACAGTCAGTCTGTGTCCTCACAAAACCCGCATTGGCGGTGATTCTTGTAAATCGCTACGGTGTGTAGAATCTACATTTTGCTACGTTTGTCCGTCTGATAGCATCTCGGCAGCGTAGGGTTTATTATTTTTTTTATTATTTTTATTTTGCACCGGTGATCGGGTCGGCTTTCACAGCCTCCATCGCTCGGATCCATGCCTTTTTCTTCCATCTTGTGAAGTTGTGTGTATTCATTTCTCTATCAACAATTCCTTGTTTTACCCTGTGTCATAAAGTTAAGTAGGCTACGGACAGTCCTTGTTTGTGTGAGACATATTAAGGAATCTGCCCGGAGTTTCACGTCGGCTCAGAAGGTAAAAACGCGAGTTGCTCTGAACTTAATGGGAGATGGACGAGACACGACAAAATCTTTCTTGCACTGTTACACCTGGTGTAAGGTTCTCTGACGTTCTGCTTCCAGAACATGCCAAGACGCAGGAGACTGCTCACCGGCCGAGCATCGCTGGTCCCTCCGCCCGCCCGAACGGGCCCGTTTTAGGCGGGTGCCGCCGGTCGGGAGCAGTGGGGACTAGTGGCTGCGGTTCGGTGCCAGCTGCACTGGGTCGGAGGTGGTTCTGGTCTGCAATTCATGACGTGAATTCATGCAACATGCTGTTTACAGTCATAACGCTTTTTCTTTACTTTTATTTCTTCCAGGGGGTCAAAAACCCACCGTCAATATCAAGGTTTGAAATAAACAACACTTTCTCTGCTGCTTTTAAGCTGAATAAATCTCTTGAGCCTATGGTTAACCTCTCTGACAAACAGGTTGTGCTTAACCCTTTGTTTCCTGATGCTTCTCCTCTGTCATCCATGTTAAAGGCTGAACATCTCTCCAG